TGCGTAGATGTTTCTACCTTAAAATAAATATTTTTACAAAAATAAACAAATTTTTACGAAATAATAAAAATTTCTACAAAATTTCTATTTTTGTAGTTTTTTGTAGTTATTCATCAAATTTTTTTCCGCCAGGGATGTTGAGATTAAAATTTCAAAATGTAATTTTGTCATTAAATATTAAATTTGCTTTTTTATCAGTATACAAATCCATAAATGCGGAGAATTACGGAAGGAAAATCAATTGCATATTAAACTTTTGTACATTTATTAGCACATCCAGATTGTATTCACATTTCTCGCATGCTCATGTTGAAGTTACAATTTTTAATAAAAAAAAGCAAATTTGTGATATTCAACGTAATACATTGCACGTACCTTATTATTGGAAATACACGTTTCAATAACTAATAACCTCAATAACTAATAACCGTTACGTTTAATTCAGATTGGAAATATAATGTCACATTTTTAATAACTTCCTTTGCGAATTTAAGATGTTCGCTGCAATAAGTTCGTCCGCACCAAAAAGAAATATTTTTATCAATGTTAATAACGTATTATTTTTTGTGAAAAATTATCACAGTTTCCTAATTCAGTAAATTCCACAATATAATTCTTAATTTTACCATTCACAATTAACGCAATTAATAATCTGATCTGTAACCATTCTGTAATACATAAATAAATATTATTAGCAAACTTAATTAAGTATGTCGTTATCAAAATATATTTCAGAAAGGGACTTCTCTTAACGTTCAATTTGTAGAATCTTGCTTTTATATGGCTTATTCACAAAATCTTGAAATAATTCATTATTTTACATACATCGTGTAAATTCATCATTGTAGAATAATCAAAATCTAAATCAGGATTGCATCCATGTAATAAAACTTATATAGAAACTTATCTGACATCCATATAAGCCTAAAAATAGAAATTGTAGTACAATTACACTATTACACTGTGATTATTATACACTATAATATTACTATGAATATTAACCCCTCACAATCTGGAATAGATAATCTTGGCGATGGCAAGCGCTTGTCAGAGAAATCAGCGACTAATAAGTGTCGCGAAAAAGAGTCACCTGCAGACAAGGCACTACACAAAGCGCTGATGTGATTACCACAGCACTAAATAAATAATGACGCAACATTAAATAAATAACCTCAGTACATACAATAACCTCAGTACAAAATTTCTGCGATGAAAACCGCTCACGAAGTTAGCGCAGCGAGAGAACCAATAACCGTCGCGGAAAAGAGCCAACAATAAACTTCGAGACTTTAGAGATTTCGATAGATTCGACTATCGA